TATAGCTATAGTATATCACTTGTATAAGACATTTCTTTGAAATATTTTTTTAAATCTAATGTTTTTACTTCTTTCAGTTTTTTCTAAATTCAAAAATAGGTGTGATACTGATAGTTAATACTTAGTGAAACTATCATTTGAATTTTCTAACAATTTGATTTTAAACAAAATATCTTGGATTAGTTGGTTATGTAGATTAGAATATTCTTACTTTATCAAATTTACGCTATAATTATTTTTGTATAAGAGTTTAAAAGATTTTAGAACAGATAAAAGAGTATGATCAAACCCATAACTTTAATAAGTTTAAAATTTTTTGCATCTTGGACATGAAAATTCACTTAATAATAATTATAATTATATTAGATTTAATTGTGTCTTACTGGAATAATAAAAGGAATACTAGTTAATTAACATTATAATTAGATTTCCACTAAAATTGCTTTAAATGTTTTTCTCCATCTATTCAGAAAAACTGTGACTAACATTTTTGTGAAATATATGCTCTTTGTAATTTTTATCACTTTGTATATGAGATATGTATATTTTATCGTTTATTTAAAGCCAAAATACCCCTTTTTTAATTAATATTTATAATAACTATAAAAACTATCTAAAAATATGAAGAAAAGCAATTTATGTGATAATCGCAAATGTAATAAAACAACAATCTTTTAAAAATAAATGGCTCCTGTAAAATGTTCTAAATGTAATGTTGGTACTTATTGTTGTTAAGCATGTTTAAAAGAAGATGAGTAATATTAAAAATATTTATAGAGATCATATATGCAATTCTGATCATTTAGATCTTGATAATACTACCCAAATTAATTCTTCGGTTAATGAAACACTATTGTAAATTCAATAAAAGAAGAGAACTCTTGAAGATTATGAATTTATAAATGGAGATAAAGGAATGTTAGGAAGAGGGGCATTTGGAGAAGTTAGATTAGCAATAGATAATTAATTGTAATAAGAAATGGCCATTAAAATTTTAAATAAGAAAAAAATGTTAAGGAATTGTAATCTCTAACAATTAAAAAATGAAATAAAATTACAAAGAAGTTTAAATCATCCAAACATTATATAATTATACCATGCCTTTGAAGATAGAGAAAATATCTATTTTGCCTTAGAATATGCTTCTAATGGTTCACTCTACAAATATTTGAGAAAACTTAAAGTAATGCCTGAGCCAGAAGCATTTGTTTACTTTTTTTAAACTTGTCTAGCAGTTGATTACCTACATAAAAAAAATGTAATTCATAGAGATTTAAAACCAGAAAATATTTTATTGGATGAATAAGGAAATGTTAAATTGTGTGATTTTGGATGGAGTGCTGAAAGTGTTGAAATGAGAAGTACATTTTGTGGAACATTTGATTATATGGCTCCTGAAATGTTACACAATAAACCTCATGATTATAGAGTAGATATTTGGGCATTGGGAATTTTACTTTATGAATTATTACATGGAAATGCACCTTTTACTAAAGCACATTTTTCTAAAGAAAATATTTAGAATCTAACTATAAAATTTTCTTCATCTATTAGTGCTCAAGCAAAAGATTTAATTACATAAATACTTTAATATGATCCAAAAAAGAGAATGAGTATGAATTAAATTTTTGCACATAAATGGTTGAAAGAAAATGCTGAAGAATTTGGAATGGATATTTCAGAATATATATATGTTCCAAAATCAGAAAGAATTAATGAATCTTCTATAAATCAAACTTTTGAATAACAAAAATAATTAAATGAATCAAAAATTAAATAAACTAATTATAATAGAAATTCAACAAAAAAGCCAGATTTTTTGAATATATCTTAATAACAATAATAGTAGATACAAGAAGTCTAATAGATTTAATAATCTTAAGAAAATAAAAGGTTAGGAAATAGTTCTTTTCATAGAATGAATAATCAATCATAAGTATCGAAATTTTCTGAAAACATGTAAGATTCAGTAAGATCTTCTTCTGATTGTTCAGATATTTAGAGTAGAACATCAAATATAAGATAATCTTTTGCAAAAGATTTATCTATTAAAGGATTTAGTCAAACAAATAATAGTTTTAATAATTCTGATAAAAAGCATGTATTTACAAATGATGCAAGCATTCTAAATTAAGAAGATATTGAAAAACTTTTAAGATAATAATTAAAATAAGCTGAAACAAAATCAGATGATATCAAATTATCGTTAAATTCATTTCAGAACATTTAATCAAATTAATTGTAAAATAAGTCTCAATCATCTATTTTGGTAGATGATAACAAAAATTTTAGTTAATAATTGTATTCTAATTAAACAAATAATCTTAAATAAAGACATGTCTAATTTTTATCACCTAAGTAAAGCATTAATGAAACATCTTAAAAGACTAAATAGTAGGTTGAGGAATCTCCATACTTTAATTAATCTTAATTAAGAGAATCAATTGCTGAGGATGAAATTAAAGAAAAATTTAGTTTTGGTAGTCTATCCAATTCTAAACATGATTAAAATTAGCAAGATTCATTCTAACCAGAAGAGTAATAAGCAATAATTAAAAAAGAAAAAATTGTGAAAGAAACGAGGTTATCAAAATTATCTGTAATACAATCAGATGAAAGTGAATGTAAAAGTGATGGTGAAGATTAACGAAGTTATTAACTTTAATAAATAAACTAAGCTGTTCGTTCTTATTCTGCAAATACTGTATAGGTTAAAGATATCAAAAATTAAAAAATCCCTTAAGAAATTGAATTATAATCTCAATTATTGTATCAAAACAATGTGCTTCAAGATACGAAATCACAAACTTCAAAAACTTCTAAAAAATCCAAATTATCTAAATAATCTAAAGTTTCGACTAATACGAAGGTTAGTTCAGAATAGAGTAGAGCTCAATAGTAATTAATTATGTAGAAGAAGAAATATACATAAAATATGGTTGATTATAGAAATTTCAATATGAAGGAGATTTCTAAGGAAGATAGAAATAGATATTAAGATTATAAAGATTCTACTAAATAATTAGAAATACGATCTCGAGAACTCTAAGACTATATTTATTCTTAAGATAATCAATTTTCTACAAGAAGAAGCTTTAAATAAAATAATACAAATAAAGAAGAATTGGGTTTTTTTGGAAAAATACAATTAGCTTTTGGTTGTCTGGGACACAGATGAAATTGAATTTGAATATTTTAATTATATATATAAATGGAGGAATACTAAGTATTTTTTAAAGCAAAATTTAGTGAATATCAAAAAAATAAAGTTGATATCTCAAGAGAAGAAATGATGATTGAAATATCAGAGATGTGGGAGTAATATAAAAAGGAGAATGATTAAAAAAATATAGATGGAAATGAATAATTATATTTTCAAATCTTTGATTTTCTTCTTACATGTAGATAAAAAGAATATGAAAAACAATAATTGGATTCAATTAATCATTAAGCATCTTAACCAAGCTATTAGAAGAAAAAAAAAATTTTAGCTCCAACAATTCAAATTTCATATTGTGCAAGTGAACCTAAATTTATTATTGAAGCTCGAACCATTGCTATGGAAATACTCAAAGAATTCAAAGTAAATATAGTCAAAAGCCAAATACATCATTCTTCAAAAAATATTTCTGTAGTTTTATATTAAGAAACCAAAAATATTGAATTATGGTCTTATTTAAGAGATGGACCTTTAGATTATTCGAAAATATTAAATTTAATTGCAAAATACGTTTAAAGATTGTGATTTGTTATATTTCTCAATCATACATAGAATTTTACTATTTTATAATTTTTGAAATTTAAATTATTTAACTTATAAAACTAGATGTAATTATTAAATTATAAAATTTAGTTTATCTGCATTCTGAGAATTAAGGCTAATTTTATGTTTGATAGACTATTAAAATAAAAAGAATAATGAGAGAAGTAAATAAATAAAAATAGAATGAATAAAGAGACAATGTAATTATTATATATATATAAATTTTTAAATAGTTTAATAAATTCGTTGATGTTAAAAATTTGATTTTGGTAATTCATAATTTTGGAAATTCTGGTTTTCCTTTAGTCAAAAAAGCTGTAATAGCAGATGACATATCATTTGTAAAAAACAAAGCCATATTTGTTCTTGCCATAACATCTAATTATGAATCTAAATTTGATTCTCTAGTAACTATGTTTTTAATAGTATAACAAGCAACAGGGGATTTAGAAGCAATGAGTTCTGCAAGTTTAAAAATTTCATCATTTAGTTGATCATTTTTAACTATTTTATTAATTAGTCCAAGAGACAAGGCCTCTTAAGAATTAAAAATTCTTCCTGTATAAGTTAATTCTCTAAAGAGGGATGCATTGGAATTTTGTAAACCCAATCTTTAAAGTGTTCCTATATCAGCAGCCCTTATAATATAAAATAGATTTTACATTCCAATATCAATTTCTTTGATTGAAAATTTAGCATCTTCTGTACAATATCTAATATCAGCAGAAGTAATGAGATCAATACCACCACCCAAACAATAACCTTAAATACCTACAATAACAGGGGCTTTGATTCTACTTAATGAATTCATGGCTAATTGCCAATCTTTGATTTTATCATAAGATCTAATAGATTTTCTTGCCTAATCTAATTCATCTGGAAGCTTATTATTTAATAAAAATAAAAGCCTACTTAAAACATTTATGGAGCTTCTTTAAGATCAAGACCAGCACAAAAATGTTTTCCTCTTCCTGTCAAAATTACAACTCTTATATCATCAGTTTTATTTATGATATCAACTACAGCTTTAAAATCTTGAAATAATTAACTGGACATAGTATTTCTATTATTAATATGAAGAGATACAATTATTAAGGTCGATTGATTTCAAGATGATAGATGTATCCTTTTTTGGTTCCAATAAGAGTTTACATAATATAAAAATAATAATTGAAAAAAAATTTAAGTTAATTTTTATTTCTATTTATTTTTGATTATATAAATGAATTTTGAAAATTGATATCCCAAAATAAATAAATTAATATGAATCATTTACCAGATACTGCCGCTGTAATCAATGCAGCTAGTAATTATACTCCATTGCTAGCTGGTATTGATTCAACATGGGTGTTGGTCACCTCATTTAGTGCTTTATTAACAATATTGGGATTCGCTTTCATAAGTTCAGGAGCTGTTAGATATAAATCTGTTTAATCAGCAATTATAACAGTTTTATTAGGAGCAGTTATTACGATATTATTTTTCTGGCTTGTAATAAAAATATTTTATATTTGATTAGTTGGGTTATGGATTTGCTTTCGGAGATGATAAAGGAAATAAATTCATCGGTATTAATAGATTTGCAGGAACTGGTTATTTAGCAAATGCAACAAGAGATGACTATACAAATTTAAGTAATCTAATATATTAATAAAAAATAGTTTTCTAAAGCATTGGAGCAATCATAGTTTCATCTCTATTTGGATTAGGAACATTAGAAAGATCTAGATTTTTTTCAGTCAGTGTTTGTTTAGCTGTTATATCAGGGTTTTTATATCCAACTTTATTACATTGGATTTAACCGAATGGATGGTTAAATAAATTTGGATTTATTGATTTTGCTGGATCAAGTTATATTCACTTATTTGGAGGAGTGACTGCATTGGTTGTTTCAATTTTCTTAAAAGAAAGAAGAGATTAATCAGGAAATGTTCATCCAGGTATATTTCCTCATCATTCTCCAATCAACATTGGTTATGGTTCTATTATCTTAACTATAGCCACACTTATTTTCATTAATGGTTCAAATAAATAAGGAAAAAGCAATAAATATGAATAAGGATTGATAGCTGTTAATACTTTAGTGGCAACGACATTTTCAGCTTTAACAAGTTTTATTGTTTAATATTTAAAAACACATAAAACTAGTTTAATTGCACTTGCAAGAGGAAGTGTAGCTGGAATTGTTGCTATTTCTGCTATTGCTAATGATGTGAGAATTTGGGAATCAGCTCTTACTGGAATCTTAGCAGGATTAATCTATATTATATTAATTCTTATCATTAAAAGATCTCATGTTGATGATCCTGCTTATACTATAGCAACACATCTAGTAATTTTTACATATATATAACATCTAGGGACCAGGATTATTGGGTACTCTTCTAGTTGGAGTATTAACTATTAGCAAAGGATTTGTAACTGGAAATGGATTTAAATAATTTGGATTATAACTTGTAGGAGCGTTAGCTGTGATTGGCTGGGGATTGTTAATTGCTTTGTTTGTTATTCCATTGAAAGGAACTGGAGTCTTTAAAATCAATCCCTTATAAGAATCCTAAGGAATTGATACCAGTTATGGTATTTAATTATTTATTATTTCATTTTAGCTGGAGGAGAAGCTATTCAATTTATTGATGAATAACCAGAACCAGCTCTTTTAAGTAGTACTCCAAAAAAGGGTATCTTCCAATGATAAATAAATAAAAATATTTTATATTCATTAAAAATAATTTTATTATTTATTTTTAATTATTAATTTAAAATACCTCTCTTATTATTATTTTGATTCACAAAATAACAATAAATATTGTTAATTCAATTGCTCACAATTCAGGTGAAGAATTTTGGATAGGGTTTTCTAAATATTTATTTTCAAGCTTTAAAAGTCTGCTTTTTATTTACTTCAAATTGTTCATTTAATAAAATTAAAAATGTTCAAATTAACAACTATGAAGTAAACATAGAAACCTCTTTCTTACTTAAATAACATGTTCAAGAGCAATCATCATAAAGTAATTCTTTGTTAGGTGAATTACCAATACGAATAAATTTAATTTATCTAAAATAGAAATCACAAATCCATTGCATAATATTAATAATCCAAAATAATTGATAAATAAGTATATGTTAAAATAATTATATAGTTTCTATTAAAAAAATAATGAACCTAAAAATTATTAATTTTGCACTTTGAATAAAATAAATTTTATAGCTCATCAAAGATATTAATTGGGTCTATCATCTATTCTTTATAAATTTTGGATGGCTTATTATCTTGAAGTCTGAGAATCTTGATAAGGTATTGTAAAGACTATATTATAATAAAAATAATTACATAATCCATTAGTCAAATTGATTTTCAGTAATTGAGTCATAATTTTTGGTTATTTATCATTAAGAGTTTATTCAACTTCATATTAATGAACAACATAAAAACATCCATAAGCAATTGCACCTTAAGGATCCTAAACAGGTGAAAATATTTCGAAGGCAACTGTTCTTCTTCTGTATGGTGTAAATATTTATTCAGGAGGTTCCAATGAGAATAAATCATTTAATTTAACAACTGCATTTCCCCAATCAAAAGTATAAATTTCTCTTTATTCTGTATTTTTATATTTTAAACATTCTCCTGATAGGATTAATTGATTTGTTCCATAATAAGGACAACTGAAAACAGGAGAACCTAAAACTGATCTATAATATGGTTCTTCTCCAGCATATGATATTTAAAAATCTTATTTAGTGGCTCCTAAAAACTTTTCATCTTTGCATACAAAAATTTATCCTAAATTTTATTAAGAACATCTATGACTGGGTAAACCATCAGGATCTTTAGTGACTCCACCAAAAAAGACTATCAATTTATCAAATTATTAATGAGAAATGGTGAAGAAACTACCATCAAATCTTTCGACTAAATTATTTCTCAATTATTCCCATTTTCTATTATAATTGTTATTGGTTCTTAAAACATATTAGCAATTTAATAATTAAGATTTTATTTAATTATCTTGGTTTTTCAATTGTTTCTATCCATAAAATACAAAAAGATTTCTAAATTTTTAATATAATAAATTTACCCTTTATAGCTTGACCCCATAAAATTGTATCCTTCAAATGGAAAATCAGGTAACGATGTGATTTGAGCTTCCTCTTCAAGTTATTAAAATGGATTTTTTGGAAAAGAAATTTATAAACATTAATTAGATTGAGAGAATCTTTCTTGTTTTTAACCACCAATAATATATATGATATTTTTATCGGAATCACTATCTCCTTTAATATATAAAGCTTATTCTAATTAAACATAAGGTTGACCTTTAAAGTTGAGTTAATACTCATACCATATTCCATAATGGACTAAATAAACAATTAACTTTTAAATATTAATTAATAAATACAATTGAATAAACTGAATTATTTGAATAAATCTTTTTGAGAGCAAAAACATAATCATTATTTAAAGATTTCTTTCCTAAAGATATTAATTTTAATGATTGATTTAAAGCCTAACTAAATTTTTGCTTTTATGCAACAATTTTATCCTGTAAAACTTTAAAAGGGATTGATTAGTTTCTCTTATACTATTTATAGAGTCTGCTGAATAACAATTGTTGTAATTTCACTATTGTTTAACTTATTTCATCAAGTATCCTTTTTTATTCATCATTCTAATTAGAATTATTCATCTATCTTTATCTTCTTGATATTCCAAATACAGGAACACAACCAGGTAAAGGGTATTTCTAAGGTACGACTTTTATTTTCCCAGAGGTATTGACTTTTGGAACTTTTGTTTCAACATAATAGATATTTTTGCTTGGCTGATATATTAATTACGATTCATTTAATTATAATGTAGGATTTCTTAATTTAAATAGTCTAAGTTCTTCTAATACATGATAGAAATTGTAATCAACTCCATAATCTTTAAAATTCGTGTATCTTCTACATCCTGGGCATGCAAATCCACTAATTATATAATATTTTCATTACGAAGGTTCAACTTTATTCTGCATATTTTTAAAGTGTTCCATCCAAGCCTCTAAATCGAAAATGCAGTGAACATAATTGATTGGAGAATGTCTAATTGGTATTGTCACAGGTAGTTTGGAGAATTAGCATTTAGTTGTGAGTATTATCTCTTCACCACCAATTTTCTCTTATAGAAGTTTCTGAAATGAAACACTTACGTTCGTTTACTTTAAATGTTCTTCGTATAATTACATTTTCTATTAATTAAATAATTTATCCTTTTGAAAGTCATTATATCATTATAAATCATCGAAAACAGCATTATTAATAATTATATCTAACTATTTTTATATATCATAATTTTTAAAAAGCAAAACTATACAACATGCATTCTATTCAGAAAGATGTTCTAGAAATAAATTTATTTGACAATTATTTCAAATTAAAATGTTAAAACTTATAAATCAATATAAGAAATCTTCATAACTCAAATAAAAGGATATATATATTTATAAAATTTGTATAATAGTGTATATACAAGTATTTTGGACTTTGTATTATATGGATATATATAGAATCTAAATGAATTTAAATAAATTTTATTTTTTTTTGAAATATATAATTCTTGTGTTTAAAATTTCTCATAAATTTTCAATTAAATAAGAATTTGTAAGATCAAAAATTGAAATACCTCAATTTAATAGTTTTGAACAAACATTTATATGATCTCATAAAAAAATTATCAAAATATAAAATTTTTAGTGGTTTGGAGAAGGATTGTCAGAATTAAATTTGAATAAAATTATTAAATATATATATTTAATGTCGAAATAAACACCTTTATAATCTGATCCAGATTCATTAGTGTACTTTATTGTTATAGTTTATTATAGAGAGGCATATGAATAATTGAATAGCAAGATTTCGAATAATAATTATGATTTAGTTGATCAAATTGGTTAGATTTGTTAAAGTATTATGTGGGGAGACAAGAACAATGACACATTTTTTGAGTAAATTATCATGTTAAATACTATATAGTTACTTTTGTGATTAAAAGACGATGTAATTGTATTTAGATTTAGTGAATACTGGATAAAGGGAAGTTGTAGTAGCAGTGATTAAAACAATTACAATGCTATTGCAAAACATTCAAAGACCAGTTAGCATAAATTACATATTAAGTCATAGTGCATTGAATGGGATAATTACAGCAGATTATAACTTTAGAGATGATGAAATCATAGCTTATTATATAAATTTGTTGAAATGTGTTTCAATTAGGATTGATGAGTAGAGTTTATAATTGTTCTATAATTTGGTATGTAATTCTAATCTCCATAGAAATTCAGCACATTTCCAATGTTGATGAAGGCTATATGTTTCTACAAACATAAAGAAAATTTAATTAGAACAAGTGTAAGAAATATAGTTTTAGGAATTACTAAAATAAATTTACCTTAATTGCGTAGATATGTTAAATCTTTTCCATTCACATTATTTTATGTTTAATTTAGTTGTTACATGAGAGATGCATTATTTTATATAGGAGGTTTAATTTAAGAGGGAAGATAAGAATCTCATAAGATAATAAAATTGTTATTAGATGATCAATTGGATATTTTGTACTTTTTGGAAGATCTCTTAAAAACAAATGTAGATGCATTACCAATAATTGTGAATTCAATTATGGTCTATGGATTCATTCCAACAATAATAATGGGAGTTATTAAAAGTGGTTAATAATCAATAAAATTAAATCAATAACCTTAAAGATAATCGATGAATTATTAATAATCTTAGAAATATCAACATAATAGAGGATAATCATTAGGTAATTTTACATTTACGAGTATATTTACATCATCATAATAGAATACAAATTAATAAAATTAATAGGTTATTGATATTAAATTTTGTCTTTTCATTTTAATCTAAATTTATAAGAGTTTCAGTTTTAGTTAATTATTGGATTTATTAACTCTTTTTATATTAGGAAAGAATCCAGACATTGTAGATTTCATAAATTAATTAAGTAAGTTTAAATTATGATTAGATTCTAATTCCAAATTGAATTCTTATGAAAAAGATGTTAGTATGAGTGAGACTTGGATAATAAAAGAGAAAACATTCATACAGGCATATTCTTAATTTATATACAAAGATTGTGAAATAAGAGAAGATATTAATATAAATGATAAGGAGAATCTATTAAAAGGGATTTCATCATATGAAACATAATCTATAAAGAGAGAATGTATTTGTATATATTATTAAAAAAGTACATTGTGAACATTTTAAAGCATTAATAAATGATCCAAAAAGATATGATGATTTTCTTAGTATTACTGATATGTGTGATATATCAATAATAAAATCATAAACTAAAAGTAAAACATCAGCTTTGAATTTTTTGGAGAAAAACGAATAGAATAAAATGAACGGAAATACAATCAATCATAAAACACCATTTTATTCATTAATGAAACATTTAGAAAGTAATGATGATACTGTAGTATTTATGGTACTTTTATTTATTAAAACTTTACGACATTCAAAAAATATATCTCATTCAGTTTTAGAATAAGTTGGAATGATAACTCCAGATAAAAATATATAATTATATAAAAATTGCTCAGAAACTTAGTATTTTATGCAAGATAAACTCCTATTTATTTTAGAAACAGGATTACCTCCTTATAGATTGGGAACATATATTTTATCAATTTAGATGTTGATTGATTTTTGTAGAACAGATCTTGAGAGTTATGAATTACGTTATAAAGATAGATTTAGAAATATTGTATTAAATCATATCCATAAAATAAATGAATATATAAAGAATCCTTTAGAAATGCATTATGTGATAGAATTCTTTTATACAGATTACAAAGTATTGAAGTAATGAAAGACAAAATATAATAGCAAGACATCAATTTCGATTTGGCCATAAACACATATACAGTTATTATATGAGATGACTCCTAAAGGTGTTTGTTAAATTGATATTAAACATAATGAGAGTATTTATTTTATGGAACCAGCTAACCAAAAAGATAAAGTTAGAAAAGACATGTTGATTTTGTTGATTTTGAAATATACAACATCAGTCTTTTATGAATTGAAAGAACAAGAATAATAAATACTTGACAATCCTAAACCATTTGGGGATGGTCCTACTTTCAAATATGTATAAGGAAATGTTTATAATTTATAAGAAGAACCATATAGTTAATTTATTTAACATTAATGTAAGTATTAAAACATTGATGCTTGTGTTTTAGAAGATTCTAACTGTTTAGTATTAATGGATCTAGTGAAAGGGTAAAATTCTGCTAAATGCATCTTTTCATATAATTTGAAATATACTGATGAAATGGTTGAAAGACTTAATTTGAAAATACTTCATGTGACTTATAGATTTGAGAATCAGACTAATGTTTTTGACTTGGAATTTCTAAATAAATAAGCTTGTTAAACTGCAAAAAAAGTGATAGAGTAAAAAAAATTGGCTTTGAGAAAGGACGAATTGGATACTATTACAACATATTTATAGGCACTCACAAATACGTTGAATTATAATAAATGATTATTTTTAAATAAAATATTGATCTCACTATCATTTTCCACGATATCCGATCCTTCTTAAATCTCATTATTTATTGATTTTCAAAGCTAAATTTCAATTCATATACAAGGGTATTTACAGAATTTGATAGTTATTTAATCAAAATTTATGATAAAGCCAACAAGTATAAACAAGAAATTTAATTCAATAATTAATACCAATTTATTCCAAAAAGTAATTATTGACAGTTCTTATTATGTGTAGGATGCAAATATTGAAGATTATGAAATAGTTTAGAATTTAAAAAATAGTTTATTCATTGCTAATAATAATTTTTAAACTAGTTAATAGCAATCATAAAAAATATTTTTAATAATTATCATTTGGTTATTATTTTTCTAATAAATTGATTTATATTTCTTGATCTAAATTTTTATCATATATAAATAATAATATAAATTAGTTTATAATTTTAAAGGATGAATAAGAAGATTTTATAATTGAGTTTGAAAAATGCTGTGAAATTATGAAATATATAAATTAAATATTATTATATAATCTCAATAATAAGTGAATGTATAGTTATTCATAATAAATATTAGATAGTTTCTATTTAAATATCTAGATTAGAAAAATAAGACAGAATTTTAATTTAATTACTTATGGATAATACAATGCAAAAATAATCACATGAGAAAGCTAATTGAAATAATATAAAATGTATTAAATAAAATATTTAATTTAATAATTAAGTAAAATAATCATTTGTATAGAAATCAATTATTAAATATATTTTACATTAGATTCCATCTTACTACTACTTATTCCCAGTATGGAACCTATTTTTCTGCCATTATTTTATTTAATTGTGTTAAAAATTGTTTATCAGATATCATATTCTTCTTATCCTGCTTATTTGTTTCATCTTCTGGTAAATCTATTTTAATGTATAGATCTTTGAATGTACCATTTGTCTAAGTATCATTATTAACAATCACTGATTATTATTATTCATCATCAGATAGATCATTTATTTGATCCCAAAATAAACATTAGATCTCAAAAAATAAATATTCAAATTTAGACTATTTTTATAAATCTCTTAAATTTTTTTCCAAATCATCTTATTACAATGCACATTAAATCATGTTTAATAATAAGTTTAGATTCTTAACACTTGTATAATATGAATTATTTCTTGATGCCAATTAGATTACAGAGACAACATTTTCTACTTTTAATTTTTAAATGATAGTTTCATTCTTTTACTATCCCAAATGATCATTAACTATAAGTAGACATTCAATAAATATCTCTAATAAATCTTATTCTATTATTTCTTAAGGTTTTCCCATTTTTTATGC